CCTTGTGTCAGCCCGTTTGGGATGGTGTGGGAAGGGCAGACTCTCCCTTTGGACTCTGGCTTTTGCTGGAGGGTGGAGGGAACGTCTGGGGTTGAGAGAAGCTGAGGTTTCAGAGGCCAATACGGCGGGTTCCTCTACAGCGCCCCCTGCTCAGAGGGAGAAGGGAGGCCCTGCGTTCTCTGGAGGGGAAGCATTCTGACCCACACGCCCCCCCCTTTCTCTTCCTCTGTCTCAGGACGACCGTGCTGGCGGCCGTGGCCTTCCTGGATGCCTTCCAGAAAGTGGCAGACATGGCGACTAACACGCGAGGTAAGGCCACCCGACCCTCGCGGCTCTGGCGCAGCCCCCACCGTGCTCCTTTCGGGCACTGGGGATGGAAGGGAGCGAAGGGAGCAGAGTCAAACACACACACCCCCCGGCACTGGATCAGAGATCCCTTCCACCAGAGCACCCTGCACGTGCGCGCCCCCCCCCCGGTCCCCTAACTGATCACTTCAGGTGGATTGATGATCCCCCGGCACGCTTTCCGTCCGGCTTCATCTCTGGGCAAGGAGGAGCCAGAAGGGGAGCGGCCGTTTCTGAGGTCTTTCAAGGGCTGTTGGGTGCAGCCGGGCCGCACCTCTCAGGTGCTCAGGCCCAAAATGTGGGGCCTGGAGCAGGAGGAACACTCTCTTCCCCCCCGCCCGGTCTGCTGGCCGTGGCAGTCAGGGACGCCCACCTGCATAGTCAGCAGATAGAGAGGGCTGCACACGGCACCCCTCCCAGTGTCGGCAGGAGACCGTGAGCAAATAGGGCTTGGAGGGAGATTAATTCCGTGGCGGTCTTGCCATCAGGCCAGCCTGACGTCACCCACAACTATCCTCACTGCTCTCCGAGACACACACACACACACACACATATATACATCACCAGTGGCTGATCTTTTCTGAGCCAGGCGCACTCTTGGGATCACCGCAGGGGAGAAGGGCAGCCCTCGCCATGTCTGTCTGGCGGGGCTTTTTCTAAGGTCCTTGTGCCAAAGCCTCCGTCTCTCCTGCAAGGGTGGGCGCGCTCAGCGCCGGCTGCCCTGAAACGTCCGGGCGCCTGAGCAGAGGGCAGGTGGGGAAGGCTCCTGGGCCCCTCCGGCCAGGCTCTTTCCAGCCTGCCCCCCCTCGTCCCCCGATGGGCCGCCCTCCCTCAAGGGCCCAGGTGCAGGGTCCCTCCGCAGGCCTCGTGGGCCTGACGGGGTGCCCTTTCAGCCGAGCGACGCAGCCCTTGGCGCCAGCGTGAAACCCCCCACCCCCCTCGCTGGCCTGGTGAGGAGGCAGGGCCGGGAATCAGGTTCACTCTGGCAGTTTCCAAAAAGGAAAAGAGGAAAGGATGCGGAGGAGAGGGTGGCGCACGCCTCCCGCAAGGGGTGCAAAGGGGCAGGAAGGGCTTCCTCCCCCCACCCCGGTCCCTTCGCCCGGTGGCTGAGCGCTCTCCCCTTGCTGAGCCCTGCTCCTGAGCCCAAGTGTGGAGCATGGGTTCTGGGCGCCGGCGCGGTGCTGGCGTGACCCAGTTGGCTCTCCCTCCCGGCCGCCCCCCCCCCGGCAGAGCTCCCTGCCAAGGCGGTTGGGTTTAAGGGAATCCGTGGGCAGATGTGCTGCCGATTAACAGCGGCTGAGCCCCCGGAAGCCGGAACGTCAGCCAAGCGAGGCAGGGATCGCGAAAGGAGGTCAGGACCGGGCGGGGGGGGAGGAGAGAGAGAGAGAGAGAGTGGGTCAGGTGGGCAGCAAAGAGTGAAGTGCTGTGGGGACGGGTGAGAGGCAAGGGTTGTGGGGGCAAGCCCTTGTGTGCAGATCCCAGGCAGGTCAGCATCCCCGAGGCTCTGGGGGAACTCGGGGGGTGTCAGCGGGGTGTAACGTTTTGGCCTCCATGAGGAGGGAGGCCTGTGGTTGCCCTCCCCGCCCTCGAAGGTCCTCCAGGGAATCACAGCCGCTTTCCCTCTTGCGGAAATGGGGGCGGGGGGCCGCCCAGTGGCTTCGCTCTCCGCGGCTCCTTGCGGTTGGTGCCCAGGGACTGAGGGGGCTGCCCCGGCTCCCTTGTCTTCCCCTGGCTGTGCCCCCCTCGGCGTCCCTGCAGCCGGGATTTCCTTCTCCTGCGTGGCCGTTCCAGGGTGCCTCCCCCCCTCCAGGAGGAAGCAGGTCGTGGCTTTCCCACAGTGGGTGCTCCTGCTCAGAGAGCCTGAACGGAGGCATTTGCGGGGGGGAGGCGTGTTGACCTCTTCTCACCTCAGTGCCCGGCCTTGCACAGAGGCAAAGAGGCGGGTTTTCTGGACAGCAGATGGCCTCTGCTGCTTCCACAAGACTCCTGGTATCCAGGCCATCTGGACATTTGGCAGAGGCTGGGTCTGTGTGTGTGTGTATGTGCTTGTGCGTGTGGGCGGGTGGAGCCGGCCGGTGGCTGCCATGCTGTGGGTTAGAGTCACCTATGGGGGTGGCTCTGTCCCCGTCCTCTAATATTCTCATGGCCTGACCCGGTTTCTGGACTGGCAGAATGCAAATAAGTGGGTCCTGGATCGAATCCAGCCTGAAAGTTTCTGGACTGGCAGAAGGTCAAATAAGTGGGTCCTGGATCGAATCAAGCCTGAACCGTCCCTGGAGACAAAAATGTGGAAGCCGAGGTTGTCCTACTTTGGGCACATTGTGAGAAAGCAAGAAGATTCTCTGGAAGAGACGGCCGTGCTGGGAATGGTGGAAGGCAACAGAAAAAGAGGGAAGACCCCCCAAGATGAGGTGGACCGACTCCCTCAAGGAAACCACAAGGTTGAGTTTCCCAGGGCTGAGCGGTAGGGCTGTTGAGGGCGAGAGAGATTTTGGAGAGGGCTCCTCCATAGGGGTGCCATGAGTTGGAAGCGACTTGACGGCGCGTAACTCACAGCCCTCCCTCTTTTTAGGCAGGAGCGGGCCGGGTCTTTTCAGCAAGAGCGCTTTGGCCTCGTCCTCAGCCCTCTTGGCCACTTGCCCACCCCCGCCGAGCGCACGTGGGATGTCAGACTCCGTGGCCCTTTCTGTATCCTTGGCTAAAGCGCAGGGAAGTTTCCCGGGTGCCTCGAGAAGCTGAGGCCGGAGGGATCTGCCCAGAGCCGTGTCAGGGAACTGGGCAGTTCTGTTTGCCGAAGGTTGAGCCACTGAGTCACGTGGCCCTGTCGTGGCCTCTGCTGTTTCCGCTTTGGGGGAAACAGGACCCCGAAGAGGCGCCTCGGATGTCTCTCTACAAAGGCAGTGGTGCAGAAAGGATCTTTCTGACGTCCCTGTGTAGAGTTTCAGCCCCTTTGGGAATGTGGTCCGTGTCTTGCTGCTTTTCTTCATGGTTGCCCAGTGGATTGTAGCCAGCCGCCTCCTGATTCTGGCCCAGGGACCCACTTTCAAGCCCACACCCTTACACTGCCCAGAACGTGGGGCGTTGGGTCCCTGCTCAGAGGAAAGAATCTGAATTGACTGTGGCCGTTGATGGCACAGTTTTGGGGTGCTGGGCCTCCCAGAAAGCAACCGCAGCAGGCCGAGGCGCACCTCCTCTGTGGTTTAAATGTCTGGCTGATTTCTGGGTCCTGAGGCTCAGCCTGCGTTTGGTGGTTAAACGTCAGCAGCCAAGAGGGCCAGCGCGGAGGTCGAACGATGTTCCTACGGGCCAGCTCTGCGTGGGCTCTATCCGGCGGTGCCCTCCCTCCTGCCATGCTCAGAGTCTCGAGTGAGAGTTTGCTGGTGGCTTTGTGTACTAGCTTTTGATACCTGGGTTTTGAGGTGGGATTTTTAAACCAGAGCACTGGCTGTTTTATGCTTGAATCATAGAAAAAATAGGAAGTCTTTCTCCCTCCCGGGGGTGTGGCGGTTGGCCCAGGGGGTTGTCTGGGGGAGGCTCACCTCAGCTGCCCCATTTGTTGACTGGGGGGGGTGTTTGTGGGTGCTTTTCTCTCCTCTCAGGAGCCACCAGAGACATTGGCTCGGCCCTGACCCGGATGTGTATGAGGCATCGAAGCATCGAAGCCAAGCTGAGGCACTTTACCAAGTAAGTGTCCCCAAGACTCGTGGGGGTTGGCCGGTCCCAGGCTCTGTGTGGGGGCTACGATTCCCTGTGTCTTTATTGGCATCTCTCAGACCCTCGTGAAAGCTGCCTCTGGGTGGGTTATGGGGTGGGAAGCCAGGAAAGTAAATGAAGGAATAAGGAGGAGGCGGCCTCTGCGGGGAGGGGGGAGGGCTGGGACTGGAGGGGTGTGTGTGTGTGTGTGTGTGTCAAGGGGAGCATCCAGGGGCCTCCTTCGGCGTGTCAGGCGTTTGGGGCAACTTCTGCTAGTACCGCTGAGCTGTTCCCGCGTCTCTCCTGCTTCAGCGCCCTGATGGAGAGTCTGATCAATCCGCTGCAGGACAGGATAGAGGACTGGAAGAAAACCGCCAACCAGCTGGACAAAGATCACGCAAAAGGTAAGGCCGATGCCCGCAGGCCAGCTGTCTGCCTGAGCTGCAGCCTCTTGGCAGCCAGCCTCTCAGGCGGCCGAGGATGGCCCAGGGCAGGGGTCGCAGGAGGCCTGACGGCTAGCGAAGCGTCATGGAGCAGCAGAGTTGGGGCCAAACCAGACAGCTCCTGACCCCTTGGCGATGCCGCCACACGGGGCTTCCTTTGAGCGGAGCAGCTGGGCCTGGAGGCCTCGTGTCCTGGGGCTCAGGGTGGAGCAGGAGCCGCGTCCTCTCTGCCTTCGGCTCCATCGTAGCTCAGCCTGGAGAGGAGTCGGCCACTGGGGAGCAGGCAGGGACGGGGTGGGGGTGGGGGTGGGGGAAATCCTGGTTGCAGTGTGTGGGAGGTCAAGCTGATGTCTCTCCCGGCCCCTGTCTCCTCAGAGTACAAACGAGCCCGTCACGAGATCAAGAAGAAGTCCTCTGACACACTGAAGCTGCAGAAGAAAGCCCGAAAAGGTTAGAAGGTCTCCAGCAGCCGCTCTCGGGCCACGAGGCCACGTGCTGCCTTGCCACGTGCTGCCATAGGCGGCCTCTCAGGCCCAGCTGGGGCAGGATGGGGCTCTGCTCTAGATTTGGGGCCACTGGCCGGTGATAAGCCAGCCGTGAGAATGGTGCCTCTTTGGCCTGGGTGGCTGGAGGGCTCCCCAGGCCATGTGGGGGGCTGATTCTTGGGTGGGTGGGTGGCTGCCGTGTCCCTAATGGCATGGAAGCGTTGCGCTCCGGAAAGTTCCCTGGGAGGTTTTTGGTGCCTCCTGTGGAGAAGAAACAAGCCTCCTTCAGCTGCGTCCTTCTCAAGTTCCACCCCGGGACGGAACCTGCCCAGAATAAATGCCTGAGAGAGCTCCGGGTGGGGTGCAGCCCTGCCTCTCGCTTTGTGAACTTTGAGGCCCGTTTCCAGGCCTCTGGACTACAAAGCCCTTGTGGCTGGAAGCAGCCTGTGTGGGTGGTCAAGCCAGTTCCTGGATGGCCGGCAGGAGGCTCTGCCTGTCCCTTTTATATGTTACGCAGAACCGTGTCGGGGAAGACGCCGGCGAGCGGACCTTGGCGGGCTGAAGTGCGTTCGCTCTCCTCTCTGGGGCCAGGGAGAAGGGGGTGGGCGGTGGCCTGGCGAGAGGCCCCACTAGGTCTCCCGTTTTGGACAAGAAGATGGTTCTGGGCATCAACCTGTCTTTCACCATTCTTCTCTCTCTCTCTCTCTCTCTCTCTCTCTCTCCTTTTGTCTCTCGCTCGTTCTTCTCCTTCCTTTCTTTCTTCCTTCTTTCCTTCCTTCTCACATCCTTCCTGTAGAGCTACTGGGTAAGTTCAATGCTGCCAACCCAGCTTCATCCAGGCTTCCCTCACCACCACCACCACCACCCCACACACCCACCGACCCACAAGGCCTAGGCCTGACTCCTCTGTACACCTCCCCACCCCGACCCCCACGCTCTGCCCCCTCCACACCCCTCCCCGGTGGGGCCTGGAATGAAATGGAAACTCGGGAGGTTCTGCCCAAGGGCGTGGGAGGACCTTGGCAGTGGGAGGGTGGCTTGTCCCGGCCGGTCTCTCCTCGGAGCTCCAAATGCCAGAGGTGGGGAAGGACCCCCGAGAGCCCCCTGGGCACATGGAACACACGTGCCCCCTTTGGGAGGGGCATGGTCCCGGTGAGGTGTGTGCAACATCCCTGTCAGGTAGGCCCTTCGCTCACGTTCCCCTGCTGCACAGGACCAGGCTGAGGATGAGAAAGAGAAGCTTGCCTGAGCCCCTGAGCCCGGCCTGCTTCGGCTCTTTTTATGGCCCGCGGTCGAGCCCGAGAGAGCAGCCTGACAGCCTGGGATCCTCCCAGCCGGCCGGCCAACCACCTGCCTCCGTATATCGACCCTGTTGGCGGGAGAAAGGGAGCGTCTGCTCTCGCTCTTCCGGGGAGACCTCTCGTGCCACCCGGCTGAGCCAGCGCCGCTTGTTGGAGGCCCCCCCCCCCGGCCGCCTGTGCGCTGGCTGGGGTGGAGACGCCCACGCGACAAACCCGGGGCAGAGCTGCAAGGACCGGCGGGGCCCCTCCGTCCCATACAGGTCAGCGACGGGGAAGGCAGATCGATGGGTGTCCCGTTTCCCCGCCCGCACACACACACACGGTGCCCCTGGAGGGCTCCTGAGCCAGGGGGGGACCCGGCACAGCTGGAGGGCCCGGGAGCTGACCTCCCCGCCAGGCCGCTCTGTGGGCCCCCCAGCGCTGGTTGTCGAGAAGGGAAAAATCAGTGGCTCCCTTGAAAAGCAGAGAGAGCTCTTCCATGTCGGGGGGAACAAAACGGGAAACACGGGGAACAACATGGGGCGGCCCCCGCCTCTTATTCTAGCGCAGGGGCTTCCCACCTTGGGGCGTTCTGATGTTCTTGGACTGCCGCTCCCAGAAACCCCTGGCCGCCAGCACGGCTGGCAGAGGAGGCTTCTGGGAACTGTCATCCGAGAAGACCCGGGCGACCCAAGGCGGGCGTGCCTTGAGCCTTGACCCCCCCTGTCCTGTCCTGTCCGGTTTTTTTCCGGCTGCGGTGGGAGCGCTGCGGCTTCCAGGTCTGGGAGAGAGACCCCTGCGCTCCCCCCCCCCCCCCTAAGGGCCCCCCCCCCCCGGGGCAGGTGAGTTGGCATGACTGACCCACCCCACCCCATGCTCGGCCCAAGAGGAGGAAGGCGTTCTTCCCCCTCCTGGGCCTGCCACCCTTCCAGGCTAGCCACGGCGGCGCCAGCCCCCTCTCTCCCCCTACGCTCACCCACACACACACATACACCCCGCTGCCCGAATCGTGCTCGAGGGGCGAGTCATTGTCGTAACTGCTGGGTTTCATTTCAGGCCTTGCCGTCGCCCTCCCGGGGAGCCCTTCCGCCTCTCTGCTTTTCTCTTTCCGCAGCTCTGCTCTCCCTCTCCAGAGTGATTGGGGAGGGAGCCAATGCTGAGATCCCCCCCACCCTGAACCCAGCCTTCCTCCTCTTCCTCCTCCTCTCACTGGGTCCCAGAAGGCATGAGAGGCCCACGAGATGGGGGTGGGCTCAGCCTTGGCCTCCTCTGAGCCTTTCCGCAGGGTGGGCCCCCTCCCCTTTCCGCAGGGTGGGCCCCCTCCCCTTTCCACAGGGTGGGCCCCCTCCCCAGCCCCACAGCCACCCACCGGGAACAAAGATCTTGTCGGGGGCTTAACATCACCAGAGCTGCGTCTTCCAACCATTTCTCTTCCCATAGATTCCCTGCCCCCCGGGCATCCTTTTCCCCAGCAAGCAGAGTGTCAGGATCTCAGCCTTCGCTCCCCCCTCCCCAATTCCTGGGGGCTGTTATCTCCATGCTTGGTCTTTTCTTGACTTTTCCATGGAAATCCATCGCCTCTCCTGTTTTTTTGTTTGTTTTTTTTTCACCGCTTCTTCCCACATGGGTCGTTCTGCCCGCCTGGCTGCTCCATCATCTGGCGCTCTTTCCTTTGCATGTGGGCGATGGGGGTGGTGGTGGGAGAGAGTGTGTGGGCGATGGGGCTTGGGGTGAGAAGCTCCTCCAAAGCACATCCCGTGGCTGCCCCACATCTTCCTGTGGCTGCAGCAAGGGTGGTCCTCAGAGGCCCCCCGATCCATCCAGCGCAGGCTTTCTGGCCAGGATCTGTGCTGGGCACAAACGGCGGCTGCAGCCGTTCTGTCGTGGGGAGGGAGGCACCTTTGGCTGTTGGGCTCCCGTAGACCTGTCCCAGCGTGCGTTTGCCTCTTGTTTGTCCACGTGTAGTTTTGTGTGTGTGTGTGTGTGTGTGTATAGTTTCAGCTTCATAGCTTTGTCTCAGGCAGCAGGAGGTCTTTCCGTGTGGGTGAAGGTTGTCGAAGCGTCCCTGTGTGTGGCTGGCCGTCCTGCCCGGAGCTCCTGGGCCTCCCTCTCCACCTCCTCGCCCCCCCAACACGCAGCCCCTGCAGATCCCCCCACCCCACCGGGAGGACGGCTTTTGTAGGGTGTCAGGGCGACTGCGGTCCCTTGCCGCTCTCGGGAGGCCTCGAAAGTGGCCACAGCAAGCGCCAGGTGCCCAGTGGATCCAGAGGCTGTGGCTGTCTCCTCTTCTCCCGGGACCTGTCCCGGTGGCGCTGGGCTGCCCACAGAAGGAAGGCCTCTGGGCCTCTCGGGGGTCTTGCTGGGCCTGGGGGAGGGGGCATGGGTGGGAGAAGAGGAGGTCGTGTCCTCGGCTCACGGTGGCTTTTGCAGGGAAGGGCGACCTGCAGCCCCAGCTGGACAACGCCCTCCAGGACGTCAACGACCTGTACCTCCTCCTGGAAGAGACGGAGAAGCAGGCCGTCCGCAAGGCTCTCATCGAGGAAAGGGGGCGGTTCTGCACCTTCATCGCATACCTGCAGCCTGTGGTGGTAGGTCTCCCTCCTTCCCTCCCTCCTGCCCACCTCCACCCCCCCTCTTCATCTTCTAGACAGTTTGGCCTTGGGATCAGCCTTTCCAAAGCGACAGGTCCCCCGGTGGGGAGGGGGTCCCGCTTCACAGCGCGTGTTTGTTTGCCAACTGCTGGTCCCCCATTCGGAGACTTTTATCCCCACGGCTCAGTTGTCGCAGCCGTCTCTGGTCTCGCTTGAACTGCCCTCCCTTCCTCCCAAAGAGTTTGGGGATTGCTGGGCAGGGGGAGGGGGGGGCTTATGCTCTTCAGGGAGTGCCTGAGGACCGTCTGAAAGAGGATTCCTAGTCCCCACCACCACCACCACCAAACAAGCTAATTCCAGGAGCCCCTTAGGTGAAGCCCTGGCCCTTTCCACGGGTCCAGACGGCTAGAGATTGCCGCGTGGATACCCCAACAGTCACCCAGCGACCCGTCTGAGGCCTGCTCAGAAGGGAAGGCCACAGAGTTTGACGGCACTTCCTTGAAGGGAAAGGACAGAAGCCGGTGAACTTTGGGGGCTTCCCTTGACCCAGCCCCCCCTTCCCTCTTCCCTCTCTGCAAAGCGGCTGGCTGGCCCTGGGCTTCGCTTTCTGGGGGGGGGCATTGTTCAGCCAGAGCCACCCTTTTTAGGGTGAGAAGGCACCTTCTCTGTTAGTTAGGGTCTAGACGGCTAAGACTTGGTAGGCGTTCAGGGCTTCCCCCTCAGTGGCCTGGGCTCTTCTGCCGCTTCCTCCTCCTCCTCTTCCTCCTCGTCAGCCTCTTCTCTCCTTGAGACTCCCCAGGCTAGGTTAGTGGCCCTCGTGGGGGGGGGAGGAGGTCTGGACCCGTCCTTTTGGAGCACAGCTGCCGTTGCTTCCCAGGATGCATAGCTGAGGCGTCCTCGTCCAGAAGCAGACCCCTGCCCACCTCTGGTTCTTCCCTGCCCGTGCGGGCTCTCCACCTGGGTCACGGTCATCATCTCCCCGAGTGCGGAGAGGGGAAGGACGGGAGGGCACAAGGAGGAGGCGGCCTCGGAGGCCCTGGGCTTCTGGTTGAGATTGCCGCCCTTCAGGGCTGGCTCAGGGCTCTTGATCTCAGCTCAGCCCCGTCACACACACCTAACCCCCCCCCCTTTGTCGCTTGTGCAGAACGGAGAGCTGGCCATGCTGGGGGAGACGACGCACCTGCAAGGCATCCTCGACGACCTGGTGGTGCTGACGGCGGACCCTCATAAACTGCCTTTGGCCAGCGAACAGGTGGGGGGGCGAGGAGGGAGGGGAGGGGAGGCCGGGCTGTTGCTCTTTGAGGGGCCCGCATGCCGCTTTTGAGCGCTGAATATGACAGGCGGGCTGTGAGTGCGGGAGGCGGAAACCACGGCCAGCTGAACCCTGCGCCATTCTAGATGGTCTGAGCACTGAATGAGTCCATCTCTTTCGGGCTGTATGGCAGCCTTCGAACCACGGGGGGGGGGCGCAGCTTCCTCTAGACTAGGTTAGTCCGTGTGGGGTGAAAGGGGGCCCGAGCCGGGTCTGGCGACCACCCAAGAGACCCGGAGGCGCGCCTGCGGGCAGGAGCGGCCACTGGGAGGTTCCAGGGCAGGAGGAGCTCCCTTCTTCCCTGCTGGGCAGAGACGGAGAGGCCTTCCCTTCCATGTCTCCCCCCCCACGTCGTCCAGGCTCCCCACTGCCTAAAATAGCCTCTGCAGCTCCCCAGACCTGAGCGCACCTTCTCCGGAGGGCCTGGAGCCCGTTTGGGGGTGGGTGTTTTTGTTTGGCTGTCTGGGTGTGGGAAGGATGGGGGGGGAGCTTTGGGGCTGCCCCAGACCCTTGTGGGGGGGGCACCGCATGCAACCGGCAGGCACGGTTGCAGCCCCCCCGCCCCCACCCCCACCCCCACCCCAGGGGCTGACCAGCCGGGCTCTTTTGCATTGCAGGTGATCAAGGACCTGAAAGGCTCCGATTACAGCTGGTCCTACCAGACGCCCCCGTCCTCCCCCAGCAGCTCCGGCTCCCGCAAGTCCAGCATGTGCAGGTGAGGGGCGCGCATGCGCGATGCCTCCAAGCCCAATGGCTCAGGGTGGGCGGGGAGGCCCCACGGGAGAGGCCGTGGCAAAGGGCGTCGAAAGACATGCGGAGCCCAGCCCTTGCCAGGAGCAGCCGGCCGAAGGTGGGCCGTGTCAGGTGCTGCTACTGCTGCTGCTACAGAGCTGGGAAGGAGAGGCTGTGCTCCTGCCCTTCCAGCGAGGAGGGCCTTTCCTTGCTTTTCCGGCCCCTGGCATGGTGGGCCTCCCCGCCCCTCCTGCCCCCAAGCCTTTTCCTTCCCTGGCACCCTTCCCTGCCCTGACTGTGGGCTCTGTGCCCCCTCCGTGCCCTCCGGCGGCCCTTCAGGGGTTCCTCCTGGCTCTGAAAGAGGCTCACGCACCCCCTCCCCTCCCCTCCCCTCCGTCCACCACAGCCTGGCGCAGCCCGTCAATGCCAACACTCGCTTGTCCAGCGTCTCCTCCCACGACTCTGGCTTCATCTCCCAGGACGCCGTCTTCTCCAAGCCTCCGTCGCCCATGCCCTCGGACATCACCAGTCAGGTGAGCTCAATGGGGAAGCTGGGCGAGGTCTGGAAGGTGGGGTGGAGGGCACAGGAAAGAGGCCCCCAAGCCAAGCCCCTGCGGCGTCCCTGCCGCTTATCCACTCCGCCCAGCCTTCTTCCTCCTCCAGCCACACCGGCACCCCTGCCTCCGGGTCAGAGGCTGGTCGTGTAGTCCATTCCTCGCCTGGGGGAGGGATCAGGGCCGAGACTGGAAGAAGCAAGGATGCCCTCCTCCCTTCTGGGGAAGCAGCAGGAGCGCCAGCCGGCAGCAGCCACCGCGGCAGGAGAGGCAGCCGGGCAGAGGAGCTTGTGGCAAGGGCCCCCCAGAGGCCATGCTGGATCCTGGGCACAGCACCCCTGGTGGCCGAGGGAGGGGGAGAGGGGGGTCGGGTTGTGTTCTGGGGCAGTTAGAAGGCCCGGCGTGAGCTTGCTTCACTCCCCCCCCCGGCCAACCAGGGTCTCTCCACCGCCTTGTCTTCAGCCCATGTCAAGAGGGGCCCCGTTCTCCCTTGCAGGAAAAGGAAGGGACACGTAGCTGATCCTTTGAGCCCCCCCCAATCCATCCCCCACAAGCCCCATGAGAAGCCAGGGCGCCGGCGAGGCCTCCGGGTCCAGTCACTGCCGCGCACTTTGACACCGCGGGGCGGTTAGGACCCCGTTCTGGTTCCCCGGTTCTTTTGAATGTCAGCCTCCCAAGTGCCCTTTCCCCGGGATTGTGGAGGAGAAAAGACAGGCCAGCTTTTGTGTTCTAAAGCCACTGGGTCTGAAGCTGCCTTGAAGGGTCCCGGGTGAGAGTCTCGCCTGCTCTGCGCCCCCATCCGCTGCCCTCCGGCGGGCGCTGCTTATAGTCCCAGCCCCCTCCTGCTCCTTCTCGCCCCAGAGGGTTTCTTCTGAGGGCCTCGGGCATGTCTTGCACTGCTGGGTTGCCTCGTGGCTTTCTGCAAGGGTGCATGTGGGGCAGGGGGGCTTGGGCTGTGCTGGAGGGGGGGGTCGGAGGAAGAAGGGGGCAGCCTGTCCTGCGCTGGAGCTGGGCTGCGTTGGCTCGCTCACTCACTTGCTCGCTCGCTGTGCCTGCCGCTTCCCCCCACCAGCAGTGTAACCGGATTTCTTCTCTTCCTCCCTCCCTCCTTTCTCTTTTGCTCTCCTGCTGACGGGCCTCCTCTGGCCTTGGTAGAAGTCCTCCAGCTCTGCATCCTCTGAGGCCTCAGAAACCTGCCAGTCTGTTAGCGAATGCAACTCCCCAACCTCGGTCAGTCCTAGCTCTACCGCAGGGGGTGAGGTGTGTGGGGGGGATGGCAGGGGGGGTAGGGGGATTCCAAAGGTGCGGCGTGAATTAGCAACACCCTTTCCCCTTTTCCCACCCCATCCCCACCGCTGCGCGCCTGATGCATGTCATGAAATGCCTGGGAAGCAGACCTTGTGCCGCTCCCAATTTCCAGCTGTTAATACTCCCTCTCCTTCCCCCCCTCCATTTTAGCTCCTGATCCCCCC